AAGGGGAGACTTCTATAAGTTATGCAAAGGGAACGGGGCTCATTAAAATAAACTCATTTAAAGAGAGGGGCATCTGTAATTACAAGGAAGACAGCCACAGTTATTCATCCCACATAATTCTAAGCCAAACTCTGGTTCAACCTTCAGAAAACGATGGAAAAATAGGCCCTAATTCCGTTGTGTGACACTACATTTAAGACAATCTAATGCATTCACATAAGAGCCCAGTTTTAAACTGTGTAGTGTTGCCTCCACTAAGAATGCATCTAATTTGAACAACCCGTCACTGATATTGTATAATGACTGCCTATCATGCTGAATAATTGCTGATTCTACAATATTCCTTTCAAACCAAGAAGAACAAGGGAAGATGACTCTTGCTTCCTGCCAATTTGCCGGGTTATTACAAGCTCTAATGTGACATGTATAAACTAATAAAACGTATAGAGCTGATGATATCGAAAAAGAAAAAGGAGCCATAGTCCTGGCTAGTAGAAATATGAAGCTAAGACAGCAGTGCATAAGCGTTCGTAATAAGGCTTATGGACAACAGGTTTATCTAAAGAAATATATGTATGAGAACTCCAACGTTATACAACAGATCTAGTCATCATTTGTAAGGCTTCATATAGATCACTCTGGTCACTTATGATCTCTATACTACAGAATGGGTATATGTGCGTTGGATAACATATAGAGAAGGATGACGAAGCTAATTTAATGTACAATTATATGATAACTTGTCTGTGATGATAGATTGGGATTTCTGAATATGCTTTTTCTTGAGAATAGTATAATGGATGAGTATGTTGTTGAAATATACAACCAGAATTAACTTCGAATAAATTCGGATTTAGAAGGGATACAGAAATGTGCCAATATCACAACTGAGGTGAAAATGAGAAGAACAAACTAGCAATTGGCGTTATTGAAGCTAATATTTTGAGTGTGTGTTTGTCTAGGACCTACCCGACTTGCATCAACTGCAAATTTCTTATTCGTCTGTGCTTTACATCGAGTGACCTTCGAAAATGCAGATTGTGAGCGAGAGTGAGAGAGCGTTTGGCAGGAGACGCAGGGAAGGCCAAGGAAGGTGGGAGGAGCTTAGTGGATGCCCAGGTATAAAAACACCACAGATTCGTCCTCCAGCATCATTCTTCAGCGGACTTAAGATTAACACTTCTAGTTCGCTTTCCTGCTGGCTGACAACCATGAAGGCTTTCCTTTTCATTGGTGAATACAGCTTAACTTTCAGTGTAGTAATTATTTCATATAAATATTGAGGGTTATATAAAGTTTTGGAAGAATATTATCATCTTAAACAATAATAATTAATATGCTTATTTTCTACAGTTCTGTTAGGTGTAACTACTGCTGACAAACGTCCACCAACAAGCTACAGAGCACCAAATGGAGGTTTCGGTAATGGGTTTGGTGCCTCAAATGGAGCCCCAAGCAATGGTTACACACCTCTAGGAAGCAATGGCTTTGGGGCATCTCTAGGTAATGGAAATGGAGCCCCTACAAGCAATGGATTTGAACACTCCTCAGGCAATGGGTTTGCAGGGCTCCAAGCAATGGATATGGAGCTCCCCCAAGTAACAGGTATGGTCCCCCAACAGGTTCTTATGGACTAGATCCGGAGTTGGTGGCTCTGCAGGAGAACATCCCAGGAGGCGGCGTCCCTGGTGAAGACTACCCAGTCTTGTCTTCTCCACCAGACACTGGCTTCTCTTGTGATGACCAGGCAGTGGCTGGTTATTACGCGGACACTGCCCCTGATGCTAGCTGCCAGGTGTTCCACATTTGCCAGGACCGTGCCCTCAGACGCCAGAAGGACTCATTCCTGTGCCCCAACGGTACCATTTTCAACCAGCAGTACCTTGTGTGTGACTGGTGGTTCAACGTGGACTGTTCTCAGGCTGAGAACTTCTACTCTGTCAACGAACAGATTGGTGTGGTCCCCAGTGCTGGCTATGGTTATGGTCCAATTGCTAACGGTATTGCCAATGGAATTGTTAACGGGAATGGTAATGGCTACACTAATGGCAATAGATTAAACGGAAATGGGAGGAATGGTAATGGTAGGAATGGAAGCAATGGTTATGGATCTAATGGAAATGGATTAAACGGAAATGGTGGGAATGGAAGCAATGGTTATGGATCTAATGGAAATGGATTAAACGGAAATGGTGGGAATGGAAGCAATGGTTATGGATCTAATGGAAATGGATTAAACGGAAATGGCAGGAATGGTAATGGTAGAAATGGAAGCAATGGTTATGGATCCAATGGAAATGGACGGAATGGAAACGGAGGTGGTAATGGTGCCAATGGTAATGGAAGAAATGGAAACAATGGTTATGGATCCAATGGAAATGGAAGGAACGGAAATGGTGCTGGTATCTTTGCCAATGGTAATGGTGGTAATGGGAATGGTGCCAGCAATGGATATACTGCACCAGCTTCTCCCTCCAATTCCTATGGCACTCCATTTTAACATGACCTTTGCCTCTTGTCTTCTGCCTCTTGAATGTCTCTCTTACAGTGATTCGACTCTTTAAAAGAATGAAGAGCTATCTTAACCTTTTGTAAATATTTATACGAGTTGATAATAATTGACTATAAAAACGAATGTCTTAATATTGTATAATAAAATTCTTAAATGCTGAATTTAAATATTTTACTACAACCTTCGTAAATTACTGTTTGTTTTAAAAGTGAGAAATACCATAAAATATTTCACTGAAGAGTTTGTGAAACATGAGGATCATATTTGTCAGTAATAAAATACTGCCAGTTACTTTATCTTTCATTTAAAATTAAAGTATTTCTTGATATTTGTATCTATGTTTATTGCGGTCTTGCTAATCCTCTTTAGGTAACTATTATTTAAGCTTAACAATCTGTAATTATATTATATTTCTGCTGAATAAATTAATCAAAGAAAAGAAACATTCAAAATCTGGAATAGTTAAAAGTGACGCAATTAATACAAAAAAATATAGTTAAAAACTGAAGGAAAATATTCGCTGTAATGTGATTGACAGAAAATTCAACAATGGCAATACTAAAACTAAAATCAAAGAGTTAAAATTTAAACAATATTATGAAAAGAGCAAGAACATAATTTTACTTAAAAACAACTAGAAAATCAAATATTAACAAAAAAAAAAAAGCTGATAATAGTTAATAACATCCGAACTTACGTAAAAACAACCTCATCAAGTGAACCATTAGTGGCAGATAAAGTTAATTTTAAAGCTACAGTAATTAATCTCCATCCCCTAGCTCTTGGGCCCCCTGAATATCACGCCTTTAGACATTTTGTGGGTATTTATGATTTTGCTTCCCAAATAACAGTACCTAACATAAAAAACATTCCCTGCTAGAATAAATGATGATATATAAATAATAATATAGGTAGTAGGTTGGTAGACAGCAACCACCCAGGGAAGTACTACCGTCCTGCCAGATGACTGTGAAACAAAAACCTGTAACTGTTTTGCATGATGGTAGGATTGCTGGTGTCTTTTTCTGTCTCATAAACACGCTAGATAACAGGGATATCTTGCTACTCCTACTTACACTTTGGTCACACTTCACAGACACGCACATGCATATATATATATACATACATCTAGGTTTTTCTCCTTTTTCTAAATAGCTCTTGTCCTTTTTTATTTCTTCTATTGTCCATGGGGAAGTGGAAAAGAATCTTTCCTCCGTAAGCCATGCGTGTCGTATGAGGCGACTAAAATGCCGGGACCAATGGGCTAGTAACCCCTTCTCCTGTATACATTTACTAAAAAAGAGAAGAAAAACTTTATAAAAACGGGATGCTTAAATGTGCGTGGATGTAGTGCGGATGACAAGAAACAGATGATTGCTGATGTTATGAATGAAAAGAAGTTGGATGTCCTGGCTCTAAGCGAAACAAAGCTGAAGGGGGTAGGAGAGTTTCAGTGGGGGGAAATAAATGGGATTAAATCTGGAGTATCTGAGAGAGTTAGAGCAAAGGAAGGGGTAGCAGTAATGTTAAATGATCAGTTATGGAAGGAGAAAAGAGAATATGAATGTGTAAATTTTAAGAATTATGTGGATTAAAGTAAAGGTTGGATGCGAGAAGTGGGTCATAATAAGCGTGTATGCACCTGGAGAAAGAGAGGAATGCAGAGGAGAGAGAGAGATTTTGGGAGATGTTAAGTGAATGTATAGGAGCCTTTGAACCAAGTGAGAGAGTAATTGTGGTAGGGAACCTGAATGCTAAAGTAGGAGAAACTTTTAGCGAGGGTGTGGTAGGTAAGTTTGGGGTGCCAGGTGTAAATGATAATGGGAGCCCTTTGATTGAACTTTGTATAGAAAGGGGTTTAGTTTATAGGTAATACATATTTTAAGAAAAAGAGGATAAATAAGTATAAAAAGATATGATGTAGGGCGAAATGGGCAGTAGTTTGTTGGATTATGTATTGGTAGATAAAAGACTGCTGAGTAGACTTCAGGATGTACATGTTTATAGAGGGGGCCACAGATATATCAGATCACTTTCTAGTTGTAGCTACACTGAGAGTAAAAGGTAGATGGGATACAAGGAGAATAGAAGAAACGGGGAAGAGAGAGGTGAAGGTTTATAAACAAAAAAGAGGAGGCATTTAGGGTAAAAATAAAACACTATTGGAGGTTTAAAAGGGGCAAATGAGAAAAAAGGCCCAAAGGGTCGAAGAGGTGGGGGGTTTAGGTTTAAAAATGTAGTTTTTAGAGTTTTCCACGAAGTTTTGGTTACAGGAAAGTGGTGCGGGAGGGAAAGGAGGATTGGGGGGAAAATGTTTGAGTAAAGAGAGTAAAAGGGGAAAAAAGTTGCATATGAGAAGTTTTTACAAAGTAGAATGATGCAAGGGGGGAAAGAGTATTTGGAGAAAAAGAGAGGGGGTTAAGAGATTTGGTGAACCCTTTGAAAAAAAGAGAGAAAATTTAGGGGAGTGGGTGAGAGGGTTATAAAACAAATTTTTTTTTAAAAATAAAAAAAAAGTTTTGGAGTGAGATTAAAAAGGGTTAAAAAAGCCAAGAAAACAAAGGGATTTGCCCATTTAAAAAAATGGGAAGAGGAGATTTTATTAAATGGAGTTAGGGGTATTGGGAAGATGGAGGAATTTTTTTTGGGGAAAAATTTTGTTAAATTTTTGATGAAGATAGGGAAGTGTTTTTTCCCGTGTAAAAGGGCAAGGAGGAATAAATCTTGTGGGAGGGAAAGAGCCATTGTGGTGGGGGGGAAGTTCGTGAGCAGTAGGTAAAATAAAAAGGGAAAAAGGGGCGGGCCGGGGTTTGGGAATGGGATAAAGATAGAAATTTTTAAAAGGGCAGGGGGGGGATATAGTTTTGGAGGGGTTTTTGGTGAAATTTATTTAAAAAATGATGGAAGAGGGTAAGGTACCTAGGGTTTTGGCGGGGAAAATGCATATTTTCCCTTTTTTAAAAAAGGAAAAGGGGGATAAAAGAAGTGCAAAATTTATAGGGGGAAAATTCTTTTAAAGTGAACCTGGTAAAGTGTATGGTAGATTTTAAAATTGAAAGAATTAAGGGGTAAGACGAAAAATAGGAAAGCAAGAACAAGGGGCTTTGGGAAAGGTAGGGGGTTTTGGCCCCGGGTTTACAGTGAAACATATAATTGAACAGTATTTAGAAAGGCAAAAGAGGCCCTTTTTTCCCATTTAGGGTTTTGGAAAAAGGGCGTATCCCGGGTGGATGGGGGGGAAATTTGGGGCAATTTTTGGGCAAGTGATTTTTGTAGGGGGGGTAGGTTATTTAAAACGGGAAGAGTTTTTTAAAAACGGGGAAATATGGGGCTCAAGTTAGAGATGAGGAAAAAGGGGAAAATTTTTTTTCCCAAAAAAGGGTGGGCCCTTTAGAAAAGGGAAGTGTGATGTCACCGTGGTTGTTTAATAAATTTATAATGGGGTTGAAAAAGAAAGTAAAGCAGGGTTTTGGCAAGAGGCGTGGAGTTAAAAAAAATAAAAAATCACACACAAAGTGGGAGTTGCCACAGCTGCTCTTTGCTGATGACCTGGGGCTCTTTGGGAGATTTTTAAAGAGAAGTTGCAGAGATGGGGGATAAATTTTGGGGTAGGGTGTGCAAAAGAAGAAAATTAAAGGTGAATAAAAGGGAAAAATTTAAAGGGTTTTGAGGATAAAAAAAAAGAAAAGGTGATGAAAAAATTGAATATCAGATTGGAAAGGGGGAGAGTAGGAGGAGGTGAACAAATTCCCAAAAATTTTGGGGGTTTGGGCTTTTCAGCGGATGGGGCAAAGAAAGAAAGAGGGAATCATAGAATTGATGGGGAAAAAAAGGAGTGGTGCACTTAGGACGTTTTGGGGAAAAAAGAACTTGCCTTGGAGGCAAAAGGGGAAAAAAAATGAGAGTATATTTTACCAACGCTCTATAAAGGGGGTGAAGCGTGGGGGATGAATGTTCCCGCGAGGAGAAAAGGGTGGAGGCATTGGGGGAAAGTCTGTTCCGAGGGCCCAAAGTGGGTGTGAATTAAACCCGGGGAATTCGTAGTTTGGAAAATTAGGGGGGTCGGATTTCCCAAAAATGTTTTCCAGAAAGGGGTGAGGAAGGGTTGTTGAGGGGGTTCGGACATGTAGAGAGAATGGACGAAAAAGAAATGCTTCAAAGTGTATCAGTCCCGTAAATGGAAAGGGAAAGGGGGAGGGGTTTTGGGCCCAGGAAAAAGGGTTTGGGGGGAGGGGGTAAAGGAGGTTTGTGTGCGAGGGGCTTTGGGCTTTCCGGGGGCATGCATGAGCGTGTTTGATAGGATGAATGGAACCAAATTTGGGTTTTTAAAAATTTTACGTTCTGTTTTTAGTGTGAGCAAAATAAAATTTATGAAGGGGGTTCAAGGAAAACCCGGGAGGCCCGGAAAAGAGTCCGGGGTTGGGGAATTAAAAGTTTCCTGCAAATCGAAGGGGGAGTTAATGTTGCAAATTTAAAAAAAATGTAAAGGGAAACCCCTTCTGGCCCAAACAGTGATGGAGGAATGATGGTGAAAGTTTTTTTTTTTTTCCGGGGCCCCCGCCTTGGGGGGAAAACGGCCAGTGGAAAAATTAAAAAAAAAAATATAAATAAATATACTTCAAAAATCCCCCAAGTGTTGATCGAGGAAACATAGATTAAGGGGTCAGGGCCTGCAGTTTTTTTTAAACATAATTATGTTATCATAAAATTAAAGTTATATTCAGAACCCGTTTTTTCATATATTTACCAAACTGATGTAACAAATTTTTGAAATGTAAAGTATTATGTGAAAGAGTGGAAAGTAAACCCCAAACCGAGGCTCCCTTTTGTGCAATCCTGAGAGCAAACCCCGAGGTGGGGTTTGGGTTTCAAAAGGAAAAAAACCAACCAGTCTTCTTTGGGGACATGAGGTCACTAAAACCCCTACAAAGTTTAAAACCCCATTGTCTTTTTTTAACCACTTTCCCTTTACTAAACCCAAAGAAAAG